TGAGCATTCTGCATGCCCCTGTTTCCTGGGATCCTTACTGGGCTAATTAATGGCTTCCAGCAGTCCTCCTGCCTGCAGCTTTCTATACCTCATCACCCTGACTGCACCAATTCAAAGAACCAAAGCAGAACAACATTCAGCCTATCAGCATGCCAAATGCACCTCCTGTAGAGCGTATCAGCAGTACAGGTGATGTAGAAACAATTCAACAGTACTTCAATCTGTGAACAAACACCCAGCAATCTGGAGCTCTGCTGAACGGGCACGGTGAATTCTGCATCCATCACAGTTCTCCCCTGTGCACTCCAAGCTCTCCAGCTCCCATCACCACACCACAAATTCCAACAGCAGCAGAGTACTGACAGCAAGATGAAGACGAGCGCACTCCAGGTAACAGTGCTTTTACAGAGGAAAACAGACTTGGGGGATGACTTTGTTACCAAACAGCAGCAATGTGAAGAGGGCATTTTTAAGGCAGCATCGCTCTCCCCTGCGAATGACCACATTCTCAGATTTTCCATAGCAGATTACAGGATTTTGAAATAGTGAAGCTGAGATGTTATGCAAATTCCTAGAGGATAATCTATGTACTAGCACAGATCAAGCTTTATTAGAGCTGGAGATGCACCATAAAAAGTGAGGTGTGACTAAATTCAGTAAGCTAACAGCATAAACCATTCCTGCAGTTACATTAGGGAGCATGTTTGCATTAGAGCCTTGTGTTAATACCTACTGTAGAGTCAACTATCAAAGCGTGATTGAAGCAAATAATGTAGAGCTCTTGTCCAAATGCCATTTGCAGCAAGATTTGCCACTCACTGTCATTACTAACCCCCCAGTCACATATAACAACAAAAATATATTGGCGAGGTTTCTCCTGGCTTTCACTACCAGCCAAGTGCATATAAAACAACTGTGTGCAAAGTCATACACTGATAGTAAGAAAGTTCAGATTTCAGTGGTGCGCAAGTATTACATAAGAAGGTACTCCAAACAAAATGTATGCCTCTTACTGGACTACTTTGCTCTTCTTTCTCCAATTCTATATTCTGGTGTCTACTGCAAGAGGCCATGGAAAGCCATCAATGTCCTCTGAGATCTTTCTAAGACACCATGCCTTTCTTCCAAGACTGGCTCCCTGGTCTAATTTTACAGGCTTCTTACCCTCCGTGCCTGAGTCTCCTCAACACCCTTCCATCAACTCCACAAAATCCACCCATCCTGCCAAACTCAGGGCTTCCAGCACCTGCCCCTACACCCATGGTATTACTGGCCACAGCCAATACAGGTTATACTCAAGGACTGACAAGATGGAACTAAGAAGGTCACAAAGCACTGAAATTCACCATATTTCCACATTTTTGGAGAGGGAAAAAAAAAAAAAAACACACATAAAAAAAAAAAAAAAAAAAAAAAAAAAAAAAAAAAACAGAAAAATCAGAAATTTTGATTCTTCTGTCAAATCTGAAGCTATCCACAAGATTCAAACAGCACACATGGGACAACAACACATTACAAAGTCCAAACATGCAGTTCCTTTGACCGATGCCAAGGAACTGCACTGACCAAAACCACAAGCTTCTACACCTCACCATCATTCAAAGAAAGCCAAAAATACTAGAAAAAGCCTTTAAAAGAAAAGACCGTACAAACGACTACAGAAATCAGAGCCTTAATATCTTCACACTGATAAATTCATTCACAAAAAGCTTGAAGAATCTCATACACTGCTTCAGATGTTTTGTTTCACGAGATGAGCAGCTGCAGCAATTATAACAAAAGTGCCATTAACAACGAGTCGCACAGTTGACACACAGACCTGGACACCAAACCATGAATGATGAGATCACTGCAGCAATGAAAACTGAAAAAAAAAAAACCAAACCGTAAAGGATGACACAAGGCAACATTGCCTACCCGATTCAGATACATTCACTGCATTTGACACAGCAATGAGGTGGTTTTGAATGTCAGCCAAAGGAAAGAAAAAAAAAAAAAGATACAATTCAACTCCCTACTCTCCTGGAGCTACGTGACTTTGCAACACAGGAAATAATTGCTTTAACAAACGTTTGAAAATAAAAGTCTCTGGGTTCACTGTGTACATTGTGAAGATTCCCTTTTTAAATATGTGCAGTAGCAAAAGAGTTCACAGTATCAAAACCACAAATCTATGCAAGTGTATCACACTGCCTTCTTATTTTCTTACATTAAGAGATTTTCTTGACAAAGTGCCTCTCAGAGGACCACTGGTGTTAGGCTACTGAATGAAAACACCTTCTCTCTATTCAGAGATAAAAATGTCTCCAATTCCAATTACACATTTGATTTAAGGATTCACAGCTATAACATTTCCTACTCAACATCTGTGATGTGCTAACACCATAAGCCATACTTCTAAAGCGAGTCATCTCCTGAGCTTACAGATCATTCACCCCACTTGCTTAAAGCCTGTCCTTCGAAGTAATCTGAGGACGGTGAGCCACGAGTAATCCTTTATCTCCTGTAAAAAATGCTTTGCAACATCTATACTGACACCTTTTAAATGAGTGTGGAGAAGCACTGAAAATATAAATAGAGCTCTCTGCTGAGACAAGGAAAGTCAGAGCTCTCCTGCTGGGCTGGATGACAGTTTGCACAGAGCTAAGAAGCAAGCTGGAGAGCACAGACCGCTAGTCAACCTGAGAGCCAGGCCATCTGCCAGCAGTCCATCAAGATGAGGAACACCAACTGCATTTTGAGCCCTTAGCTAGACTCTGTATTTCATTACGGTGCATACGCCGTATGCTGCTATACCCGAACAACTATTGCTGTGCTTCCCTCAGATGACCACACAAAGGCCACACATGGATCAAAGGGAAAAGGTCTTCTCCAGGCAGCAGCCTAAAACACTTTTTTATCAAATTTGAGCCTTGTTACTAGAATTATTTCATCCTTCTACAGCTCTTTTCTGTCATCCGATGTATCTTTCTCTCTTCTGTTTCCTCATCTTTCAAATTCTCACTAGCAAGAGAGTTCACTTACTCCCCTCCAACTAAGGCAAGCAGCAGTAGGATACTTAACTCCAACATTAAGATCAGTTGAATAGCAAGCATCAAAACAACCCTCGTTCAAGACTCCTGAAGACTGAAGCACTCACTCCTACATCTGCAACTCTGCAGCTGGGATACTTTCAAATATTACCTTCCACATTCAAGATTGTAATACTAGTCAAATTCAAGTCTTAGACCATACATACTGCTGATGACCTGATGCACGCACAGCACAGGAGCTACAGAAATGGTCATTCAGTGCAACCAGTTCAAGAACTCAAATGCTCTAAACTGTCTGTAGACAGCCCACAGTGCATACCTGAAAGTAGACAACCCACAATATAAACCACCCTGTAACATACAGCACTCTGAAATATTCCAAGCAAAACTCCTCTGGAGAAAATCTAGAGCTTCTAGGACTCTAGTTGGGGTATCCATCTATCTATCCCCAGAGACAAGAAAAAACATTCTCATACCATCCCCTACCTTGGAAATAAGCTGTGTGCACTGCTATATGTTTTCCCTAAAAGAAGCTAAGAAAGAAAAACAAGGGTGCTAAGAAGGAAATTTATGTACTAGCTTATAAGTGGGTGCACTTCTTGGCTGCCCCAGGAGAACTGAGAAAATCCACAGCAAAATCTAACACGGACATCAGTTTCACAACTGAGCTCTCACCACATCTCTGCAACAAATACCAGTTCTGCTACATCATGAGATTTCCTCAGACCTGAAATATATTCACTACTGTATGTTTTGCACCAAGGCAACAGGGTGAGCAAACTCACTTCTGTAAGATTTACACATTATTTTGACTGCCTGTATTTCAGAGCATCAATCATAGCTCAGCTGTTTTCATACACAAAAAAAAAACGCTAATCCTGAATTTTCACCCCATCTCCTCTATCACCTGTTATAGATACGTACTGACTTACAAAAAAAAAAAAATCCAGATTTATTTTTTGCATCAACTATTTAACATTCCGTGGTTTTGTGTTTTACAATGGTTGCCAACTTTGCATGCTCAACCAAGTGAAGCTTTGCAGCATTATCAGAAATAGTGACATGCACTCAGGTGGAAACGAAACAAGTGCTACCACATACCTACCAAGCTTACCAAAATCGTTTAGTAACTTTCACAAAAGCAGTCAGTGACCATGGATTTGAGATTGTGAGATTGCAAGCCACATCACTGCAAACTGAGCAGAAGAGAGGATGCCAGCCCAGGAAGCATCCACACCGGCTACAGGACCAAACCATCAGCAAGACGAACTGCATTGCAACGCAGCTCCCTGCGCCTGTGCCGAGTGACTCCACGCGTTCGAGCCTGGCTTCAATTCCCTCCGAGGTGTAGCTGGAAGCACTCGAAGCCAAAAGCAGAGCTTGGCACACAGAACTCGAAGCGTATCGCCGAGCCGCCAGCATCGGCACACCGAGGCCACGCGAGCCGGCAGCTCGGGGCGCACGTAGCAGCCTCGGACTGGCGCAGCCCGCACAGGCAGGACACCGCGTGTCTTTCCAGCGGGCCCCGCGGGCCGTTCCTGCGAGGAGCCGGCAGCACGGTGGAAGGGGGCTGCGCCCGGCGCGGCCCGAGCCCCGAAGCGGGAATGGCCGCGGGACGCCGCCCGGGCGGGGACCGCGACGGGAGCGGCCTCGCTCTCGTCGGCCGCCCACGGCCCACCGGGAGGCCCCGGTCGCTTCCCCTTCGCCCGCACGGGCCGCCGGCCCAAGGAGGGAGCGGTGGGAAAGGCCGGGCCCGGCCCAGCGCCCCACTCTCATTCAACCCCCCGGCGGCCGTGCCCGGCGGCGGCTCCGCGCCAGCCGAGGGATGAGGGAGGCCCGGGAGCGGCCCTGCCCCGCGCGGCCCCGCGTCCCGCGCACCGGAAGCGGCGCCGGCCCGGCCCTGCCCGCCGCGAGAACCGGACGCGGGCCGGCGCACCCCCGTCCCCGCGGGGCGCGGCGCGTCGGTACCTTGATGATCCTGCGGGGCAGCCCGGCCATCTTGTCTCGTCGGGGTGCAGGATCGCGGGCTCGCCTCCGCTCGGGGCTCGCGCACAACCGGAAGTCGCCCGCTCCGCGCTTCCGGTGGTACCGCCCTCGGCGCGGCACGTCGGGCAATGTAGGCCGCGCCCGCCCCTCCGGCCTCCGCGCTCCTCCCGCTGCTGGGCGGCAGCGCGCCGAGTTGCCGCCGTGCGCGCCCGCTGCGTGCGGGGGCGAGGCCTGCCCGAATACCGGCGTGAGGGCAGCGCTCCGCGCTGTCAGAGCTCTGGTTTCATCAATGTGTCTGACGCATCGCGATGGTACGACGTGTGTCGGCGAACGGTCAGTGAGACGTCTCAGCACATCTCACCTTTGTGCCGCTAAAGTCTCGTCGGTCGGTTCTCTGCCTTCTTGGCAGGAAGAGAAATGTTGTAGATGATGAGCTCGTTTACAGAGATATCGTTATCTCTGCAGCATCCTATGGCTCCCTGCTGCAGCTACGTAGCAACAGTAGCATCCAGCCCTCTGCGTCGGCACTGTTGCTGCACAGATTGGAAATGAAAGCACAGAAAGATGAAGCAGTTTGCCAGAGCACTGCCAGGAGCAAGACCCTGCATGAGCAATTCCCCATCAAGTGCTTCCTCCCGATTCAGAAACAAGACTTTTAGGTCAGCTACACCATTTTTGTACACTGGTAGAATGGAAAGTTCTGAAACTGGTAAATCTGGACTGTGTAGTTGCTGACACACTCCTGTCATAAATACTACAAGCTTGTTTTGTGTCCTAAAATATAAAAACTCATGTCAACAGATGGTGGCTACGATAACATGAGGCATGTCAGAAGTGGTGTGTCTCCCTCCTTATCATCAAGAAAACAGAATATTCTGAGTCAGAAGGGACACACAAGGATTATCAACTGCTGGCTCCACACAAGACCACCCAAAATTCAAGCCCTGTGTCTGAAAATATAGTCCAAATGTTCTTGTGCCAGTGCCCACCGCACTCTTGAAGAACTTCCTAACCCCCAACTGGACCCTCCCATGACATGGCTCCACGCCGTTCCTCGGGCCCTGTCACTCGGGTACCCATAGAGCAGAGCTCAGTGCTGCCCCTGTGCTCCTGGTGAGGAGCTGCAGCTCCATCAGGCCTCCCCTCAGCCTCCATGCAGTACTTCCCAAAAACTTACTAAATTTTCCTTCTCCATCTCTTGAGAAGGCTACTAAAAGGCATATAATTGTTCTACACTACTTGATCTCTTTAGCTATTGAATACACCAGCAATTCCAAACTTTTCATATAAATTCATGAAAAGCACCATCTCTGTGCATTCTTGTATACGTTTGGCCCTTTAAGCACTAAATTGTTCTCCTAACATTATGGATGTAACATTCTGTGGAAGTCAATTAAGTCAATGTATTGACATGTGGCAAGAAAAATGCATCAAACAACATTTGCAGAATTGGATCATAAGGGGTTCATCAATAGCATTCCCTCATCTTGCCTCGGTGAAGGATGAGTTCATTTGCATTCATTATTGAGCCTGTGAAATCACTGTGCTTAGATGTGGTCCTTCAGCAAAACCTGGTCATACTAGTTAGACCTACACCTATTCTGTAATCATGGATTTTCCTTTTTACTTCATTATTGCAACTTGTTAATGCTAAACGGGACCAACTATATGCTTTTGTATACACAGTACCTTACTGATGTTGGTTTTGATTTTTGTTTGTTTGCTTGTTTGTTTGTTTTGTCACTTGGGGGAAGAATGGTTTTGGTGTAAATGAATTAACACAATTAGGTGGTGGATGCTATGTATGGCTGATCTGTATATAACTAAATGCTTACCACTGAGCAGCATAGAATCATAGAATCACTAAGATTGCAAAAGACAACTAAGATCATCTAGTCCAACCATCAATCCGTCTCCATCATGCCCTCTAACCCACGTCACTCAGTGTGACACCTACCCTTTTCTTGAAAACCTCCAGAAAATGGGTTAGAGCATTTAATTGCTTTTGATGAATGGGATTTAGCAAACTTTGCTTAGGGAGTCAGGAGAAAAAATCAAGGAAAGGTTAGTGAAAAGAGAGCATTAGTATTCATATAATCTTGCAGCTTCATGAATAACTGCACATATTTGTAATCATGTTGCTATGATACCCAGTAATAACTAGGAGTCTTCATTTTGAATTAGCAAGTATGCAGAATGCATAGGTTTCTGTTGTTTGTAACGTTCTTCTTTCCATGTTGTGTAAATTTCACATAATATGATAGATAGCTAAGGGAGCAAATGGTCCCGTATCACTCTTCTGTCCTCTGCCAGTAACCCCTGTAAGCATTTGCCAGCAACAAACAAATGTCAAGATGTCGCAGGAGGGGTTAAAGACATCAATTCCTTATGAATTTTAACCAAAAAACAAACAAACAAACAAACAAACAAAAAAACCAGATGAAAGATAGAGAAGTGTTGGTAGTGAGAGGAAGACTCCATGACTTCTGCATTAACTAGTATCAAAGAATTATCTTCAGTGGTCCCTATCTCTAAGTAATTATAACAAAATTCTTCTTTTATGCACTGCTTACTTCTTTTTCCTTGTTTCTGCCTTCTCCTTTGTTTATTTGTTTTCCTTTACTCTTCTTCTGAAATCCTGACCATTGAAGGACTGATCTAAGTGAAGGAAACTATGAGCCAAGAATGTTGTAGGCTCAGTGTGATTAAGAGGCCACAATTTCTTGAAAGCACTGGAACTTCTGCTCTGTGAACCTTGCCCCACATGTGCTAGATGCACAACAGCAGTGTGTGATTGACTCAGTGCTAATGCTGTGTTTAGTGTTCTTACAAGTGTTCTAGACAGAATCCCGCCTCTGTCTAGGGTTGCAGCAAGTCCATATGGCAAGCTGTTGTATTTTAATTGTTTTTATTGCTCAGCAAGTGGCTTGCTACATCCTGTGAAAACTGCATTTTTCACAATGCCTCCCTTTCTGGCTTCTTCTGGGAAGAGGCTTTTGTAGTCCACTTGCTCCACAAAGGGCAGTGAACAAAAACATTGTTTTCTGTTGTCAACCTACAAAGATGTATGTAGGTCGTTCCTCTAAATCGTGCTACCTCTTAGAAGGACTACTGCTGAGATCCCTAAGCATCCATATGAGTGCTGGGGAAGCCATTCATGCTGGCTACTCTAGGATCTTAGCTTTATAGTTTGCTTCTTTGAACTGCATCTGTACAAGGGATGTCTTCCAGTAGAAGCTATAGAGAAAAATGTTCATTTATGCATTCTAAAATTCCGAAAGAATGCAACTTAATCCTCTGAATCAGACCTGGAACAAGACAATTAAGTGCCAAGGGAGCTTTGTCATCTCAGCTAGCCCCACCCTATGGGTGTTCTGGCAGTTTCTGAGTGCTATCCCACCCCCAATGACCTTCCAGTATCCACTCTGGAAGGAAAATACTTTAGAATTTTGCATTCTAAAATTGCATTCTAAAAACTGTAGCTGAGTTCTAGACTACAGCCTACATAGCAGTGTGTGCTCACCCTCACTTTGGTGTATCTCTTGTAAGGCTTTTTTGAGAAGAGCCACTGGTGAACCGGCCCAGTATGGTCCTGCTTTCCATTTCCGTTGGTCAAATAGTTCTTTAGGACTCCTACTCCCAGTTCAAGGTTGCCACTAAAATGTGTTTATTTTTCTTATTCTCTTCTTATTTTGAGCAATATGGCTCAGAACATTCCTTTTTCAAAGTACTATATAGCAATATCATTAAAACAACCTGGAGAAATGTACAAGTTTCTGAAGGGCATGCGAGGGGGAGCAGGGAGAAGAAACAGAGAAGGAAAAGTAGATCTGGAAAACTAGGTTTCCATAACACTACACATGTAATTTGTCAAAAGCCTGCAAAGTGTTTCAGTAATCCTTTTTTTGTTTTTGTTTTTTTCTTTTTTGTTAAATCAAAGTTTGTTCAAGGGAAAACAAAAGTTCTGTTTTCGCCCCAAATAGTATAGTTAATGAAGTCATGCATCTTCATTTAGACAGTTGCCTTCCCTGTCTCAGCCTGGCATTTTTCTTTTGGTAGATTGAAAGATAAAGAAGTTATGTGTTAGGCAGACATTTAGATTTATACTTTTGTTTAAATTAGATTGAAACTTTTCATTAGAACCATTGCCTGGAGTTCTGTCTGATAATCTCTTAGCAATTGCTAACTGTTTGCTTTCCTAATATCCTTGAAATAAACCCAACATAGGTAGAATGTGATGACTGTACTGCCCTTAGATCAGTAAAGACTTTGGGTAAATGGTATTTTCACTCCACAGCTTACTGTCAAGGCCCTGGGTGCACAAGTAAGCCTTAATTGCTGTGTTGGGCCTCAGCTGGGGCCTCCACCCTCATCCTCTAGGGACCAGGACACTGAGTCCCTTCCTGAGCTACACCCTAGCTTGCCGACCTGCCCCTGCTCCTGAGCTGATGGTGGATTTCCTGGAGTGATCTCAGGCCAGGACAGATCAACCCAGGATGACTGATAGGGCCTGCTGTGGTAACCAGACTGCCCTGCTCACCTGCTCTGGGAGCAGTAGGACTGCCTCCCACTGGAGGGGTCACACTGGAGTGCCCTCAGTTCCCCGTTCACCTGCCCGCGGGAAACAGTGCTGCTTCTGCTACCTTGCTGCTGAATTCAGGCTGCTTGAAGCTGAAGGTTCACTCTTGAAAAGCAGTCTTGCCTAGCTACTGTTGCTGTTGATCAGCTTTTATCAAGGGCTACAAACGCAGGCATTTCAAAGCAAATTCAAGTGCAGTGTTTGTTAAGACTGTTGTCATCTCTGGTCCCCATTCAAATCAGAGTTCATTCCTACACCACAGCTCTACCAAGGTCTGCCTTGACAGTGGTTATTTAGGGTGTTGTTTCCTGTCAGAGTTACACTACTTTGCATTTGCATTGCTGATGAGAAGAATCTTGCCCTCCTTCCTCTGCCACAAGCTGCTGCTCCTTCAACTCACTGATCTCGCAGAGGGCTCATGAATAGTTCCTGGGTGATCAGTGGGCTTACAGACTTGCAGTCATGCATCTGTGTAGATCTGGCACAAGAAAGGGGGCAGGAATAC